TCCGCTCCTTGAGTTCTCTCCAGCACTGGAAAGCTGATCCAATATTTTACACGGGTCCTACTTCTTGCCTTGTCGTTCCGCAGACGTTTTCCTCTTTTGTTTTTTATCCGCCATCTCTATCTTTCTGTCACTCGACTTGGCTAATGTCCGTCCTGTGCACTGAACTCTCTCTCCTCCACATCATGAGTAGATACGCCCCTTACTGCTGATTGGCTACAAGTTTGTTTTGCTATTCGGCCCGAATCAGTTTTCTAAAGTGTTTTTGAAAAATCGCTTACCCCACCTTTAATGACAACATTTTCATTTTGGTGTGGAGTATCCCTTTAAGGAACACGTGATCCAAGTTGACCGTTAAGCTTTCTCTAACAGTAAGTAGTCCAGACCCTCTCATCTCCCTATAGTAAGATAATCTCTGGTGCACTTTGAGCTTCAAAAATGCTCTTCAGAAACCTACGGGTTTTTTTTTTTTTTTTTTTAAGTCAATGGTTTTACCACACTGTAAAAAAAAAGTTGACCTTAACTAAAAAAAAATAAGGCAACCTATCACACTCAACTTGTTAAGTTAACTCAACTAGCAACTGACAACTTAAAAACTTTAGTTCATCTAATGTTTAAATGTCAGTCTACTGAGTGTTAAAATATCTGTCAGAGCAACCAAAGATTTTTAGCATTTAGCAATGCTAATCTTTTTTAACAATCCTCTTTCTTTTAGATTTATGTTTATTTTCAAACCCTTCTACATAATATGGGTAGTATTTGCCTCTTAAAACTAAAGGCAAACATTTATGCTGATAGACAAATGTATTAAACAAGATGCAATGAGATGCACATACAGTAGCCTACCTCAGCACACGATTCTCAACCATGCTGAGGATCAACAAATTTTAAATCAGTAAAAATATGAACTCTGATCAACATGACAGCAAACTGACAGACAACAGCAGCAGCAGCATACATTAAGCCAGTAAAATTTAAAACAATGATATTATTTTAATAATAATTAACATAAAATGTTTTCAAGCTGCAATGCATGCTGGGAACCTGTGCAATATTGTTCAATGTAAAATTGTTTGTTCAGATGACTCAATTTGAAAAGTTGGGAGAACATTTGGATATGTTGTGAACAAATACTAAGTAAGGTAAACAAAACAACTTTTGGTAGCGACATAGAGTATTTTTGTTCAGTTCACACAAAAAATTTAACTGGCTTCTCCTACTAAAAATGATTTGTTTAAGGCTACTTTTTTTACATTGGTTAGTAGAACTTTTCAAAAGTTGGATTTTTTTATAGTGCACGTTCGTTCTTTGATACTTTTTGGAGCTTGATAATCACCATCCTCAACATTTTGTGATATTGTCAGAGCCATATTCATAGGCCTGTACTTGTAATCACCATCCTCAACTTTCTGTGATATTGTCAGAGCCATATTCATAGGCCTGTACTTGTTGCACTTAATTTTGTTCAGCTAAAATTATATTTCAACCACTAAAATTATATGCCATTTAGAGTAAAAAATTAATATAAAACAAAATACTGACTAAATGTAAATAATGTCAAAAGACAAATGACAAACAAAATACTGTGTAAAAATGAACACTGACAAGACTCTTGACCATTAGAGGGCAGTATTGAATCAAAGCTAAGCTTAGACAGGAAAGGTCTCAGGTATATGTCCAGAAGGGCAACTCGATTCTTCGTGTTTGCAGACAGTCGCTTACTCATTTTAGGAAAGACTGCATGATAATGCTCATTTATTATTCTATAAAATTATATCTTCTTGCATTCTACATGAAGCATTCACTATTTTCGTCAGCAGGGATGTAGGAACATACAAAAGCAAGGTCCTGTTTTATGTAGCATAAACTGAAGGTCACATTAATATAATATGTGGACGTGCATTTCCTTTCTCTAAACTGCTCTCATGAAAAGTTGGCTTGAAGAGCTTTCATAAAGGAGGATGCGCAGCCAACTTGAAATAAGACATGAATTTATTATGTTGTCAGGAGGTGGCAATGCCAATGGATGTGAGACTGGTGAACAAGTCCATCTTGTTTGAGGATTTAAACAGAAATTAAAAAGGCATTGTATTCAGTGCAAAACATTGAGTTCGACTTTCCCTAACAGAGCAATAACAAGTGTTATTTGTGCAAATAGGCCAAGAATTGTCAAAACACAAAGAGATGATGAATTTCTAATCTTTATTTGACAGGATAAATGTGATCGGTCAGCCAAAGGAGGGAGGTGAGGATGGGAGACGGCATTTAAGTGCCATAACTGTGAAGACGGTGCACTCTTATTGGCCGACACACAGGTATTTTGACACAGAATCATTGTGACGTCACACTTCTGGATTATTGCAGTATTGAATAGGTTGACTTGATCGTGACATGGCATAACATATGTATATAGGGAGATACACTCCTCCCTTTGTCTCTTCTCTTCATTCCATTTTTCCTTTGATGAATTAGAGAGACTTAAGCACTTATGGTTATGAAAGCTGATTTGCTTGCTCTCATGGACAGAATGCTTTAATGAACAGAGGCACGACCCTGTGTGGCGAATACTGACTTATGTCTCGTCGTTGATGTTATGCGGTGAACACAGACATTGTGAATCACTGGTGACTTCCTGCCACTTGGAGCCCAAACAAAGACAAAAGTAATGCATTCCTAGTTTGACTTTCACCCTAATACTGTTGTATTTTTAAAAGCTAACGGTCAAGATATATAATATGTATATAAGATATGTGATAGAGCAGCTGTACTATGCAGCTTTGTGGTTTGTAATAGGACTTTTTTTGCAGAGCACTGCTGGTGAGGGAAATATGTGAAGAGAACAAAGACTGAAAAGGCAAAGCAAGAGTGTGAGGTCATTTAAAGCACTCCGGAAATATAGTCAAGAAAAAAATTTAATCCATGGGTGAACATTTTTGCATAATCTGCTTTCTGAAAGATGAGTTTCTGAGATTCCCTGCTTAATGAACCGTACGGATGAAACTGATAGAGAAATCCACACTTAAAGTCTTAACTGCCTGCTAGTGGCCCTTGAGTTCATAAGGGTCAAATATGCTATGCAAATAGGAAGAAGGATATGGAGACTCAATTAGCAGAGGAAATAGCTAGCAATGATATGGCCTCATTTTGCTTTTATTAATTATTACTAGGTTATATATAATATACACTACAGTTCAAAAGTTTGGGGTCAGTAAGATTTTTTGAAAGAAATTAATACTTATATTTAGCGAGGATGCATTAAATTAATTAAAAGTTACAGTAAAGACTTTTACATTGTTACAAAAAATTATATTTTTCAAATAAATGCTGTTCTTTTGAACTTTACATTCATCACAGAATCTTGAAAACATGTATTACGATTTCCACAAAAAAAATAAAGCCATTTATAAGCAAAAAATAAATATTTTTTGAGTACTGAATCTGCATGTTAGAAAGCTTTCTGAAAGATCATGTGACACTGAAGACTGGAGTAATGCTGCTGAAAATTCAGCTTTGCCATTCCAGGAATAAATTACATTTTAAAATTCAATTCAAATTGTAAACAATTGTTTTAAATGGTAATATTTCGTAATATTACTATATTTTGGATCAAATAAATGCAGCCTTGGTGACGAAATGAGGCTTCTAAAACTTTACAGATCCCAAACTTTTAAATGGTAGTTTAAATATTTAAATCAAATGTGTTAAATAGAGCTGGAAGTACTGTAATTCTACAAATAAATAATATCCAAATTTGCCAAAAAACTTAATAAACAAACAAGAAGCACAGACTCTGGGAATGACAAGTGTTCAAATTATCCTTAGATCTGCTGATTTGCAAACACAGGTTCACTGACATTTATATCCAGTAAATAATGACTTAAAATCAAGGAAGTCAATGAGTCACTGACTAAATGTGCTTTTGAATATGAGAATGGTCATAACCAATGGTTTATATTTTCATGAGAAGCTATTATGTGTTTCTGAGGAGGCAGTAATGTGGTGTGCGAGGATTGATGGGAACAGGGGAGATAGACAAGAAGGATAGAAGACAGACAGAAAGGAGATGAAATGCAAGCAAGTACAGGAGGCCTAATAAATAGCGCAGTACTGCTCAGAATTTCATCATGACTTTTCATGTCAGTTTGGCCTCTCAGTCTCTTAATTTTGAACTCTCAGGTTTTTTAAGACTCGTCTATCTATGTTTTAGCCAGTCTGCCTGACCACTGCAGACCTCTGTAAAGAATTTAGGGGCTAAACGGGCTCATTCAGCTCAGAGCTCATCTGTTCAGTGTTGTACTGAAAAATCACATGGCTCGGGACGAGATTTTTATGGGTGGGAACTGGGAACCCTGTCCTAGATCACAGCGGGCCCCCCTTTTGGCAAATTCAACTGACTTTACCACCATTCCTTCAGTCTTTATAAACAGTCACTGTCACTGTGTTTCATATCTCACCAGGCATCCTCCCTCTTCATGTTGTGTGTTGTAGTAATACAATTCACACATTTATTATATCAATAATAATACAATACTGCATCAAAGCCCATTCTGAAGGACCAGACACTCGTGTGTTCGCACAGAAAAGAGAATGTTGTTGCAGTACATGGATCATGACAGGCTTCTAGTCCATAAGAAATAAATAAGACAGATGAAAATCAGATAGAAACAATGTTAAAACTGACATTTAAATTCATCCTTGTCTGACTATCTTACATGTACAGGTAACAAACAGAAGTCATGTGACTCTTGAGGAAGCAGACTGCTCGTTTTGGAGCTTGTGGGCGGTGGATGGCTTTCCATTTGCAGAGAAGAGTGCTGATTGGCTGCTGAGCAAAGTAAACAGGTGTCTCCTTTGTCTCCGATTGGCTAAAAGGACGGGAAGGTGGACTGGACGAGAGGCCTGAACGAGAATCCTGGACTAAATCCCCACTCTGTGTGATATTCCAAAAAAGGTTCGTATAAACCTAACGTTAGTCCAGAGTGACATTTGCCCTCTCCTTCGGCAGACCCCCCCTCCTCCCTTCGCCCTCCCGTCGCAACTGATGGTGGGTGTCCATTGGTGTGGCGGTGGATGGTGGTTAGTCAGCCGGGTGTGTTGGTGATAGTTTTGACTGTGTAGTTTTGGAACAGAGGCTGAAGGAACATTCCGATTGTGCCAAAGACACACACAAACACAAAGATCCAGAGAAATAGACGATCGATCACCATGGCCACATACTTCCAGTCCTCACTCACCTGTGAGACAAAAAGAACAGCAGATGAAATAAGGAGTGATGGTTGGATTGAGGGAAGTACAGCAGGGTTGTTATTGACAGCTAGCGGTTGAAATGGGTACTGCAGTCCAAATACAAAATATTGTTTCTTCCGCCCCCTCCTCCTCAAACTCGACGCTCACGCAGATTGCCTGTTTGAGGACTCGCAAGAGGAATGAGCACAATTTACAATACTGATGAGCCTCACTCACTGTGAGTTTATCCGTGTTTTAATATTCCTCTGGTCATAAAGCTTTTTAGATGGATGCCGAGGCTTTTTAGGTCGGGTAGAAACGATCTCTGTCCCAGTTCATTTGCTGGATTCCATGGCTGCAATACGTTCTGTTTTCTCCGAAGTGGCAACCCTTAGTAGTCAAAATACTATTGGTTAAACTGGCAGTGGGCGGAATCACACAGACCAAAACAAAACAGACATTCCAACACGGAACACACATTTCAAAGTAGAATAACTGGCTGTAGTTCAGAATGAACTTTGCATGATTCCTAAATATCTGCAAACATATTACGGTATTTTTATGCTTAAGTACAGTCAAAAAATTACATACAGCACCTTTAAATAAAACTATTACAAATTGTTTTCATTAATTTAAATAAAACGGAAATAAAATATAAATATTAGATGATTTAGATGGCAAATAACAGAAATATGTTTAGGCTGAAGTACTTAAAATTATTAAAAAGTTAATAAAAATGACAAGCACAACAACATTACAAAAATTTAAACTGAAATTAAAACTTAAAATATAAAAGTAAATGATAAGTGAAAATGTTAATAAATTCTATAATAGTATATAAATAATTTTAAATAACACTGGTGTGCCATATGTGTTTAAGTAGAACAGAGGACAAAGAGAAAGAGAACAAGGAACGGGGTGAAATAAATTCTCCCCAAAATTCTGTAATTATTTTTATCTGTGATTATTCCAAACCTGTATACTGATATTTCCCATTCTCTCATTTTCTTTGTTCTCTAAAAAGGACAAAAATGCACCACAAAAGCCACTTTTTGCAGTTCATATTAATTATGATTAAAATTAAGAATGCTTTTACAAGTCCAATTTAATTCATGAATTTATGCTCAGGTAGCATAAACAGATAATACTGCAATTTGAATTTTGAATTCAATGGTAAAACATTCAAATGAATGGGAAAGCAATTTAACTTAATTAACAGTGAAAAAAGTATAATTGTCAAGACAAACTGAATGCTGGCTTGAAAGTTTTAGAGTCTGAAGTTTGAAGATTTTATAGGTGTTCAAATACATTTTCCCAGTTTCCCAGAATTCCATTACCTGTTGAATTTCTTTGCCCAACTCTGGTATAATGTTTGTCAGATACACTGTAAAAAATGACAGTGAATTTAATGGTAAAAGACTGTAAAAATGCTACAGTAAAATCCTGTTAAATGGTTAACGGTAAATTCCCCTACTATATACGGTGAATGTTTATTGCATTATTTCATTTTCATGTGTGTTACCATGATGGTGTTTAGTGTTTGTGTGAATGACACTGTGCACCTTCTATATATGTTATTATTTAAAAGCTGCTTTTAATGGGCTTTGTTTCATCATGTGACTTTCTCATCACCTCCTGCATTTGGTGGTTATCAGTGTATTACAAAGGTACAAAACAGATTTCAGTACTTCAATAGGATGGTATATTAACATTATATCTGTTAATGAAATTACGGTATTTAACTGTAAATTTAAGTTAAACCCGTAAAACCTAAAACGTTGCTACCGTATTTTTTACGGTAGAATTCCGGCAACCACAGCTGCCGGTTTATTACCGTAAATTTTACGGATTTTTTTTTACAGTGTAGCCTCATCCATAAATGGCAATACAAACTGTGACTGACTCTTGTACATGTCAGTCCAGCTGCTCTTCCTGTCTTAAGTGGGCGGTTCTTGACTAGAATATACTGTAGTTTGGACAGACCTTATGACGTTTAGTCTCTGACGACTATAAATGACGTCATGATGTTAAACCTGGGCCACAGATGCCATATTTGATTTGAGAACCTCAGTAGAGAGGAATGAATAACAACAAATGAATCAGCAAAGAAAAGTGTCCTTTTTGTAACTTGACAGACGTGCTCACTTTGAACTCGTTACATTGCAAACAGCTGCATGACTCTTCAAAATTCTCCTTTTGTGTGAAAAGATAGCAATAAATATTTTTTACAAAAAAAAAACAAAAAAAACAACCCCCCACATTTTTTTTTCCAAAAAAAAAAAAAATGTTTTAAAGGCGAAATGTCAAAAAGAGATGAAGATGTCAGATGTAAAAGGGAGACAGGACATAGATGAGTCACACATAAAATGTGGGGGTGGGGTAAAAAAAAAAAGATTGAGAGGTAAACATAAGATGGGAAATTGGATGTGAATGTGTGGGAGTGAGTGAGAGAAGGGAAGAGAGAAGAGGGTGAAGGAAAAGGTTAATGTGAACAGAGACTTCATTCTGCCACAGTGCTCTGATGAGGTGAGACACACGGGACTTGAACCGTAAGCACGGCAAAGGCTGCAAGGGAGTTGGCATGGAGACGCCTTGTTATCATGAGAATGAAACTCTGTGCAGGTCGAGATGATTGACAGAATTACTGAGTGCTGTTAATTTTACCACATGTTGACTGTGTTCCTGCTCTTAAGAAGAAACCAACTGCTCAAGCTCACTTAAAAATATTGCTGAGTTATAAAATATATTGCTGAATGTTCTAACTAAACAATATCATCAAAATAATGTGAAAAGATAAATAAAAAACTCACTATAAATCTATTAATATCTCTTTGGAACTTAAAATGGACCCATTTAAAAGATAAAATAATTTAAAGCACTGTATGACTCATAAAATAAATAATGCATTTTTATTTTTAGAATAAAATAATAAATTACATAAATAAAATCATTAAGAATATATTACTGATTTTGAAATAATTTTTGGTATTATTACAAATATTAGGGTTGTGCCGGAACATTTTAATGTAATTGAACCTTCGCAAAGGCCCGCCCCCCTTTGTTATTGTAGCTATGTCCGACAAGTCATGCCACTCTCACGCCACACGTTCTCACGCAGTGAAAAATACATCGCGGAGCAAGAAGGAAACTGATAATAACACACAAACAGACAAGACAGAACAGGTTACTTTTGGTATGAAACAAAGTCTCAGCTTTCAAATTTTGTCATTTTTAAGAAATTCAAACAATAAATACCATTTTGTGGCTCTTTAATGTCGTGACAGGTCGCTGTAGCGCCTCAGTTCAAGCGGCACGTGAACCAATCATCTTTTCATATTTACTTAAAGCACAAAATAAACATGAATGAACATCAGAAGTATCTTGTTTCAACTGCGGAGAGATGTCAATACACACCATTTTTCAAGTTCAAGTCCACCAACATTACAGTAATCTAGTCTCTGGTCTGGTTTGTTTGTCAGACAAAAATGGCAGATTCTGCGTTATGATTGGTCAGATCGCCTGTCAATCTAACTCCCTGTGAGGGGTCAGTTGAATATATATATTTTAATATATGTTCAGTGCTTAATCACCTCAACTTTCTAGAAATAGATCAGTTGGCGTCTATCACTTGGCTTGTAAAATGCACATCTCTGTAAAAAAAAAAGAATCACCTCCAGTATCATTCAGCACGACTGCTACTGTCATACGTGAGTAATGCTGAGACTCACACGGTGTTTGACAGAATGGGACTGTAAGCAATTTAAATGCCAACAGTGAGTGTAGTGCTGATGTGTAGCTATGCTTTGGCTAAAGACCACATCTCTTTTTTAATGCTTCAGGACTTGCCTGTCAAAGCCTCCACATCAGAGATTATTAAACCACAAGTGTGGAGCTGCATATTGATCTGAGTGTGTCTGTGGGAATGTGTGTAAGCTTTCACTGAGCTCATAATGAATGTCAAGTTTTGAGTCAGGCCTGGATGATCTAATGCTCACTCTAACAGTTTTAGTGTTATTTCTGACTTTGTTTTAGATGTAGTTGCCAAAAAATAATTTAACATTATGATATAATTTAGCAATTAGTGAATAGAACTTTGCTTCAGTTCTGCTTCTCTTATATCAATGTAACACTAACCAACCCATCTTTTCATTTTTACACTTCAGGAGATACAGGTCCAGTTGAGTAAGCATAAGAGAAATAGAATCTGGACACTGGTGTTTGTCACGGTGCGCTACTGTGAGGAGCACGGAGACGGAGGGAATCCAGAAATAATTAACTTTATTTTAACACCAAGGGACACACACGTAGCACAGGAATCGACGAACATTCAACAAGTAGATCCGACAAAACCAAACAGAACAGACTGGGGCTTATAAACACAGGGGAATGAGGATAATTAACTAAACACAGCTGGGAACAAATGAAGAACTAATCGGGGAACATAATGGGAACAGGAAGGACCAAATAAGGGCATGGAAGGCACATGGGGAGCAAAACACACACAAAACAAGGAACAGAGTCTGACATTACTCCCCCTTCCCGGAAGGCGCGTGCTCGCGCCTCACAACATCCAACGGGGAGAGGGGGTGGGCACTCTGGAGGCCCCTCAGGACAGACATGGGACAGCAGGCCTCCAGAGTGGTACCTGTTCGGGGCGCCATGGCGGATCAGGCAGTTTGGGCCAACATGGCGGAGCAGGCAGCTCGGGGAGCCATGGCGGAGTAGGGAACTCAGGGGGCCATGGCGGATCAGGCAGACTAGGAGGCCATGGCCGGAGCAGGCAGACTAGTAGGCCATGGCGAATCAGACAGTTCAGGAGGCCATGGCGGAGTAGGGAACTCAGGAGGCCATGGCGGATCAGGCAGACTAGGAGGCCATGGCGGAGCAGGCAGACTAGGAGGCCATGGCGGAGCAGGGGACTCAGGAGGCCATGGCAGATCAGGCAGTTCAGGATGCCATGGCGGAGCAGACAGTTCAGATGGCCATGGCGGAGTAGGGAACCTCCGCC